AATAACCACACAGGAAAATTCCATATTAATTGTCATACAATGACTTCACGACGTGAGCAGGCTGTTAATTGAGATAGGGAGACTGAAGAAAAATGGGGCTGAGACTGCGACAGGCTTGAAAAACTGATAATTATGAGATTTGTTAGATATTTTCGGCATGCCATGCTTACTAAAAAAATCATGCAAATCAAATAAATTACTAAATTTTTAATATTATTTTTATTTAAATATTTTTCTGTAATTAAAACAAAATAAGAGGAAAGTATATGTATTTTATTCTTAAAATATTTTAACGATGATGCAAATCATCGCTTTATTTTAACGATGATGCCAACAAGATACCTAAGCATCATAAATCGTAATGCTTTTCAATCCGCCACAACAATTTATTAATTGATTTTAAATGTTTCTATTCTTTTTTGACCAAATAAAATGTTTCCATTCAAAACTTTTATTTCAATAAAAACTCGTAATAAACCAAAAGCGATATTTTTCACCTACTTATTTTTCCTTGAACTCTTTATACATTATATTATATCATAGAAAAATACAAGAAAACCATCCTATCATACCCAGTTTTTACCGTTTCATTAATGATTTATTACAAATTGATATTGTCTTCGTACGTATTTAATTAATTCATATTATAAAGATGTAATTCATTCTTTTCTCTATCTTTTAATGATACAATTTTTTGTTGATTTTCCAAACATAAGACCCAATATTCATTCATAATATTGAAATAGTTACATTAATATATGTTCATTTTCATCTGATAGTTTTTTAAATGTAGAAAAATTCTTATTTTCCCAACTATATATCTACACAACTTTGTTAATTAAAGCCGTTGACCTCAAAAATCTTTTTGAGAATGGTCCAAAGCCAATTCAGCTTGACCAGCAAATGAAATAGCATAGCTAGTGCGGAATTATATAGTCCATCCAAAAAGAAGGCTCCAAAATTTGTTATCTGCATAAATTCATTAATTAAAGCGTATATACACCGCAATTGACCTTAAAAGTCTTCCGAGAATGCTCCAAAGCCTGTCCAACTTGATCCGATGGTCCGTCCTCAAGTTTTTTATTTTGAGAAATAAAATTAAAATGAAAAATGTTGTTTTCAATGACATATATAATGAGCAATATTAATTAGTTAGTGACACATCCTAAGGTATCTTCCAAAGAGAAGACTCCAAGACTCGTCGTCTACACGACATTATTAATTATATTGAAGCACACATACATGGTACGCATCTGCCTACAAGATATTTTGATGAGAAGGCTCCAAATAAAACCAATTCAGCTAGACCCGCAATTGAAATTAAATAATATAGCATAATATTATAGTCCATCCTCAGTTTTTCTTTTAAATTTTGAGAAATTAATTAAGTGAAAGTGTTGTTTTCGATAACAGATAATGAGCAACGTTAGTTTATGGCGCCTCCTAATGTGTCATCCAAGAAGAAGGCTCCAAAAGGTGTCATCCGGTACTAGTTTTTTTTTTTTTTTTGGGGTCAAAATTCGGTACTAGTTTACACAGTGTAGGTATCCTTGGCACCTAATACGTTGATTAAACAAACTATACATTAATTATAAACTTATTAAGAGTAACTTTCTTGATAGTGACTCTGCCGAATTATATATAAGCAATAATCTAATTAGGGATAATTAATATACAAGTCTATATAATTTCAGTCAATTTTTAATCGAGTCCTTATAATTGTTTTTCTTCTTATCAAGTCCTCATACTTTCGTATGTTTTTAATTAGGTCTTTATACTTTTTTTTTTCTCTTTATCAGGTCCTTATTGTTTTACATTATTTTTAATTAGGTATTTGTAGTTTTTATTCTTTATTCTATAAATAATAATATTCTATAAATAATAAATTATTATAACAATCTTATGTTAATATTCTTTTAAATTTTTAGTTAAACATATATTATTTATTTTTCAATTCTAATTTTTATAATTATAAAATTCAAATTATGATGATAAAATTTTCTAAAATTAGAATACAATTATAAATAATTTATAGTTAAGTATAATTGATTATTATGATTAATTATTAATTACTAAATGATTATATTAATTATTTTTCCAATTATATAATTATTAATTTAAAAATGAAATTAATTTTAAAGAATAAAGTAAATAAATAATTTTAAAAAAACTATGAATTAAAAAATAAGTGAAAGTATAAGAACCTAATAAAATGAAAAGAATGAAGGGGCCTAATTAAAAAACACGGAAGTAAAAGAATATGATTAAAAAAAATTTATAGTGACCTAATTAAAAATAAGATGAAACTACAAGGATTTAGAGATTAATTATCCCATCTAATTAAAGATATTAATTCTCAGTCAAAGAACTAATCAGATACGGACGCGTTGGATAAACGTTCCCAAAAAAAAAAAACCAATGAGATTAAGGGTATGTTTGGATTGCAGTTCCAAACTGTAGTTGTGCCTTGGAATCTGTGAAACTGAGGTTGCAAACTGAGTTAGACCAAAACTGTTGTTTGGCTGGGCTAACTTTTCCAACCAACTTCTGGCTTTCAACTTCAGTTAGACTCAACGGAGAAAAATCTAACTTTTCAAACTGTAGTTTCAAACGGTGATTACTAAAAATGAGCATCCCAGATTTACCCTCACATTTTTCTCTCTGCCTCATCTCCTTCGTTAGCATAATAAGTTTTTATTTAGACCAAATAAATTTTAATTTATATTCATGTTTGTCTATTATGTATATTTAATTAATTATCTACAATGTGTTTTCAACTTTTTCTTCATAACAAATATTTTTATTTCATAATTTCACAATTAAACTATTTATATTTTATCATAATAATTTTATATGTTTTTTTAACCTATTATCACATTAAAAACATAAAAAATTAAAAACTACTATTTAATAAAATTCATGTCCTTTTTAGTCATTTTACAACTAAACTAACTTTTTCATTCATCATCCAAACAACTTTCAGCTTTTTCAACTGACTTTTCAAAAGCACCTATCCAAACATACTCTAACTGACTTTTACTCTAACTTCAGTTACAAAAGTCAGTTGAGCTAGAAGTCAGTTTTGCCCAACGCCAATCCAAACATACCCTAAGATGCCGGCGCATGACCCGGTGGTATTATCGACAAAAAGACGAAGAAACAAGAATAAAAATGGATTCTAATGGACTTGGTCAAACAAGCTAATACTTGTTGAATTATTTTTATTGACGTTTTTACCTTCATCCAAGGGCGAAAGGTCGTCAATCACAAGCGATTATTATGATTGTGGCCCCACTGCATGTATCTGTTATCTCCTAGTGGTGCCGAAGACTAGAAGCCGTGTTTGAATGGATCAAATTATGAAGGTGTGGACCTAGCTAGGCTCCACAAAATGGGAAAAAGAACAGTAAAATGATATATCTGAAAATTTTATAATATTATCTATAGTCCCGATCATGAGATGAGACCTTATCGTTTCAACCGATTTTTAATCAAGTTCTTATAATTATTGTTCTTTTATCAAGTCCTTATATTTTCATATGTTTTTAATAAGGTCTTTATATTCTTTTTTTTATCAGGTCCTTATTGTTTTACTTTATTTTTAATTAGATCTTTGTAGTTTTTATTCTTTATTTTATAAATAATAAATTATTATAACAATCTTATGTTAATATTCTTTTTAAATTTTTAGTTAAACATATATATTATTTATTTTTCAATTCTAATTTTTATAATTATAAAATTCAAATTGTAATAATAAAATTTTCTAAAATTAGAATATAAGTATAAATAATTTATAGTTAAGTATAATTGATTATTCTGATTAATTATTAATTACAAAATGATTGTATTAATTATTTTATCCAATTATATAATTATTAATTTAAAATAAAATTAATTTTAAGGAATAAAGTTAATAAACAGTTTTTTAAAACTACAACGGAACTTATTAAAAAAAAGTGAAACTATAAAGACCTAATAAAAAGAAAAAAATGAAGGGGCTTAATTAAAAATACGTGAAAGTAAAAGAACATGATAAAAAAAAAACTTTATATTGACCTGATTAAAAATAAGATGAAACTATAAAGACCCGGAGATTAATTATCCCATCTAATTAAAGATATTAATTCTCAGTCAAAGAACTAATCAGATACGGACGCGTTGGATAAACGTTCCCGAAAAAAAAAACCAATGAGATTAAGATGCCGGCGAATGACCCAGTAGTATTATCGACAAAAAGACGAAGAAACAAGCATGAAAATGGATTCTAATGGACTTGGTCAAACAAGCTAATAATTGCTGAATTATTTTTATTGACGTTTTACCTTCATCCAAGGGCGAAAGGTCGTCAATCACAAGCGATTGTTATGATTGTGGCTCCACTGCATATATCTGTTGCCTCCTAGTGGTGCTGAAGACTAGAAGCCGTGTTTGAATGGATCAAATTATGAAGGTGTGGACCTAGCTAGGCTCCACAAAATGGGAAAAAGAACAGTAAAATGATATATCTGAAAAATTTATAATATTATCTATAGTCCCGATCATGAGATGAGACCCATATTGATGTTCGAGGCCTTGCTTTAGCATTTACACAAGAAGAAGGGTTAAAAATGGTTGCAGAGGCAACATTGTGAGCTTGGGATTGGGTTTAGAAGTAGATGATGCTCCTAATGATACATGGCGTAGCTTTAAGCCAATAAGTTAGAGTAGTCAGGTAGCTCGCCATTGATGGAAATTTGTAATATATATTTTCACGCAAAACAATAAGCTTTTTCCTTGAGTTTAAACCAACGTTGGTTTTGCTCTTGTTGGGTGTTATTCTCATTATTTTCTCCTGTTGATGACAACTTTTCCTGGTCGTCCCTATTATCAAGTGACCCGCACTTCTCTTTCAGAATGTGCTTATAAACTAGTAGCAACATCTATTGTTGTCTTCAAAAAAAAAAAAAAGATCACGTCTATATTATGCACAATGAAATTAAACAAAAGTAATTATAATATACAGATATAATAAAAACTCTTATTATGTTATTTAAATGTTACCCGCAATGGAGCTTGGTGTCCAAGATGAAGATGAAACAATATACAACAGGCTTGTATAGTTGGGAACTAGCGAGGAAAGAAATCACTCAGAGACATTTCATTAATCGAGCTATATTCTCTACTTGCAGAAGTGATTACCCTTCGAGCACGCAAAAAGAAAGCAGGTTGCTGTGGATGTGGCAATTGAATTGAATCATTGCCCAGATATGAAACAATTGTAGCCATGGAAGGTCTTGAATCTGGATGCCTTTGAACACATAACAATCCAATTTGGATGCACCGGCTTACTTCATTATAACATTCCATTTCTTTTAGATTTGAATCCAACATCTCGAACAACTTTTCATTACTCCATTGATTCCACGTCTGCAACAATTAAGTAAAACTCATTATTTCAATCATTCATCAAATGAGGATGACTGCATAAGAAATATTAATGAAATAAACGTATTATCATAACTTACATAGCTCAAGAGGCTATCAGCATACTGCGATTCATCATGACAACTTGCATTCTTCTTTCCACTGATAATTTCTAAAACTATAACTCCAAAGCTAAAAACATCTGATTTTTCAGAATATAGCCCAAACATCGCGTATTCTGGAGGCATATAACCACTAAAAAAGAAAATAATATATCAATAATGAAATTTAATCCATTAGAAGATAAGACTAATTTTGATGCTTAAAGTGATGCATTGAAGGCAAACCTTCTGGTGTCACCTAAGAAAAACTTATTTTTCCTTATTCAACAATATCAAGATAAATGTAAATGTTGAAGAGAGAGAAGATACAACTTACTATGTTCCGACAATCCTCCGTGTATTTCCCTCATTTTCATTGATAGCAACCATCCTAGCTAGGCCAAAATCTGAAATTTTTGGATTCATTTCATTGTCCAACAAAATATTACTAGGTTTAAGATCACGATGTATAATTTTAAGACGAGAATATTCATGAAGATATAAAATTCCACGAGCAACTCCTCTTATGATTTCGTAACGTTCCTCCCAAGTCAGTCTTCTATTTTCCTGGGAACCTATGCGCACACACACACACATATATATTTTTTGTGAGTGACGATGGAAGTGCCCATACAAATAAAGATAATCTTAAATTTCAATAAAAAAAATTATGAAAAAGTTTAGAAGAAGCAAACCAAAGAGGAAGTAGTCAAGGCTTTTATTGGGAACATATTCATAAATGAGAATTTTCTCTTGATCTTCTACGCAAAATCCCAGTAAGGTCACCAAATTTCTGTGCTGCAGTCTGGCTATTAATAATACTTCATTTTTAAATTCTGCTGCACCTTGGCCTGAACCTTTCGAAAGTCTCTTTACAGCTATTTCTTGACCATTTGAAAGAATACCCTAAAATCATAGTTGATTATTAAAAATGAATTGCATTTGCGGGGTGCGCGCGCGCACATGTATATTTAGAGAGGGGGACACACTCAAAATTAATATCGATGTATGACATAGATCACCTTGTAAACCTGTCCAAATCCACCTTGGCCTAGACAATTTTCCTCTGAAAACCTATTTGTTGCAGCTTCAATAGTAGCCAAACTAAATTGCAGAGGCTCTAAAGTGTTGCTTTCTTCTCCAACTAGGCAAATAAAAAAAAAAAAAAAACAGAGTATATTAATTAAAAGCATCACCCCAACACTTCCCATCAAGTCAACTGCATGAATATATTAGGAGATAGAATGAAAATTTACTTACAGTATTTTTGTCTGAGGTCAGCCCTGCGTCTCTTCCTTATTAAACTCCTTAAGAAATAGTACACCAAACAAAAAAGTAACCCCGCACAAGCAACAGAAGCAACAGCTATTACAATGGTCCTCGTTTTTCCTGTATAGATATAAGATACTTTCACGTCTGAGAAGACTTCAATCAAGCAAGTCAATTTTAGGCGTTGTACCAGTTGAGAATTGTATTAGCAGGTTTAATTTTTGAAAAATATTAAAAATACAAACAAACGATTAAGAAAAAGAAGCGTACATATAAGTTTAACTTTACCTATATGAGTTGCCGGAAAAGGTGCAGGAAGAGGCGGCGGTGCTGGCTTACCACTAGAATTATAAAAGATGAACAATTCATAACGAACGTTACAGCTGGGATATAGAACTCTTCCTCCTATCTTCCTGTCACTACAGTTGAAAAGGTCCCCAATCGCGTCTCTCAGACATGTTCTGCAACCTTGGGGAGAAAGGTCCGGCGTGCACTGAACCAGACAATACAAAGTTTGAAACTGTAAACTCGCTTCTTCTGTCGCAAAATTCTTCCCCATACCAGGTTTCGCCGCCTCGTCGGCAGCCTTGTTCATTGTTGTGTTCAATACATTAATGAATCCTGTTTGGTTGTTGGCGACGTTGTTGGTGTTGGCCCCGCACCGACTAGGACTCGTGTTGACGGAGGAAAAGAAGTAGCGGTCGGAATAGCGAACCATACACTCCTCGTACCATATCACGGCCTCCTTCGAGACGTTGCACAGGGAACGTATGTTTTTGGTTGCGTCAACGACGCACTGGTGGCACAACTGGAGGGTGACGTCACCCCGGCACATGAAGAGGCCGTATACGGTGTTGCGACCGCCGTGGACGGTGGTGTTGTAGAAATTGATGTTGGCGGTTTTGTTGGAAGCTAAGGAAGAGAGGAGCTTGGTGAGGTCGGATTGGAAGGAACTATTGGCAGCGAAGGTGTCAGGAGAACAGCTGCTGTTAGTATAAGAGGGTTGTGCTTGAGTAGTAGCAGAATAAAGAAAGCTAATAAAGAAAAAGAGTAACATAATTTTGTGGGAAGGCATGTTAACGACGAACATGATAACTGTGACGGCGGTCGGGTGTATTATTCGAGGTGTTTAAGGTAAGGTAATAGCCATATGGGCGCTGTTCGGGGGTGTGCCTTTTACTGGCAACCTGGGGAGCATCTCATCGATCGGAGGAATTGGTCAGAGGCCATGATTTTTAAACCAATAGAAAGAAAAAAGCAAAAGAAGATCTTATTAAACTTGCTTAAACGATTCCTTTCACAAAATAAATGTATCATGACAAAATGGAAGGATATTTAATCCCGAGACCCTTAAAAACGATATTGCGTTAATATAATCTTTGTTTTCTTAAATTTACTCTTATTTTGATTTTGGTCCCTCAAATTTCAAATCATAGGTTTTGGTCCCTTAAAGAACAAAATAATCTAGATATTTATTGAATTATAGAAACTAATATTTTAAATACAAAGAAATTTGAGGAACTAAAATCTATAATTTGAAATTTGAAAAACTAAAACCAAAATTAGGACAAATTTGAGAGATAAAGGTTTATATTAACCCAATGTTATTTTTCTTGCAGAACTAAAGGCCCGTTTAGAATGTCTTATAAATAGTTTTTTAATTATAATTTATAAAATACGAGATAAATATAAGAGAAAAATTTTGTTTTAACTTACGTAAAATATATTTGTTTAAATGATTCCAAACCAGCACTAACTAAGAATACAAATAAAAAGAAGATGGACCTAGAAGTCAAACGTGGAGCTTGAAACCTGAAGTCAGTACAATGCTCATCGTCTTGATGGGCACTCTAAACTTATCAAATTTGAATTGTTTATATTTGATTTGAACGATTTAGATTTAACATCTTTAATTAATTATTTTTAAATTAAAAACTATTTTTTGAAAGAATTATAATTAAGATATTATCTTTATTTTGGATTCTGCACCTATTAAAATAATTATTTTAAATAAATGAAAATAACAAAGAAATTAAATCTGGGCCATCCAAATAAGATATGGACAATCTAGATCTAATGAGTTTAAAGTACTCATCAAAGTGACTAGCACCGAAATTGGTTCCAAGGGGCAATGACGGGTATTTGGATCATTTTCGTTTTGTTTTTAAGGGCTTTAGCATAAATAAGACTTTAACTAGGGGGTCTACATTAAATGGATATCCATCTCGGTCAGTTAAAATAATTTTCCACATGAGACAAGACTTGTAATGAGGAAGACACGCTGAGAATGACTAAAAGGCCCATTGATATTAAATCAGCACGTTCTTCACTAATTTGACTAAAATCCATTTAACTAATTTAAAAAAAATTAAAAAAATTACTAAATTATTTAATTATAGCACTTTTTAAAATATTTATATGTATCATTAGATTATGCATCATCAATTTATAAGTGAGGCAAATTAATTTGGATAAAAATAATAAATATAAATACTTTAAAGTAATTTAGCAACTTTTTTAGTCTTCCCAAAGTAACCAGTTGAGTCTTATATTAGGCTCTAGAGACAGTATTATTTAAATATAAATTCACATAAAAAATTGGACATATAACTATGTATGATTAGAAAATTTGACATAATAAATATCACAAATTTGATATAAATATTTTTTTTTCTTGTGAAAAATAAAGTAGCAGACCTGAATTATCGCCCCAGATGGGGTCGTGAATCGTGAGGAGCGTGGAAATTACGAACAATTATAATGGATTCCAAATATTATGCTCTTAGATTATTGTCATCGACAAAATTGACGAAGATATTTGTGAAGACTTGTCCAAAAAAGTCATAAATGGCAGGCCCCATGAGAACGGCAACAAATTAAATAGAACCAGTGAGATGGTAGAAAAATAGCGTGAACATGTGTATTGGCTGTGGACCACCAAGATACAGTCGGGTTTAATGGAGATGAGAGTGAGTAAGATGAGGGATTTTACGGAATGATTCTGACTTTGCCAACTATATGTCTTATCAACACAACTTTATTAATTAAAGCGTACATAGACCGCAGTTGACTTAAAAATTCTTTCGAGAAGAATGCTCCAAAAATTGAAATAATGTAACATGAAATTATAGGCCATCCTCAGTTTTTTTCAAAAAAAATTTCAAAAAAATTAAATGAAGGTGTTGTTTTCAATAACAGATAATGATATGTGCAGTCATAATATTGAGATTATTAGGCTGGTGCGTAGTACTAATGATGCAGTCATAATGTGATTGGCATAGCTAAAGCCAGAATGGTTCCCCTCTTCCTAATGTTGTAGGTTTCCAGGTTGGCCCCTAGCGTTTTTCAAAACGGGCTGATACTTGTGGTTCTATATGGGTGGGCTTTACGAGGAAGACATAAATCCTTGGGAACCCAAAAAACTTGCTTATACCTTTTTTAAGATCTAAGTCATTTTATTTTTCATTAGGAATCAGGATTACCATTTCCCATAACTACTTTTCTTTTCGCGGGGGAAAGACACGGTTAAAAAAAAAGACATATGAAAATACTGTGATAATTATACATTAATTTTAGCATTTAAATAATAAAGTAAAATGTACAGCAAGAATATATATTCACATAAAGATAAAATCTACGTAATTAATTAGTGCTTTTTTTATAAGTTCATATCCTTTTGCGATCCAAACATGAAGATCGACCAGAATATTCAGTCTTTTGGCCAAAAAAGGGAGTAAGAAGGAAATTTGACGATGATTCCGAAGTATAAAGCTTCATATATACTAACGAGGAAAAGATGAAGTTATAGACATTTCATTGACAGAAGATGGAATGGAATTGTTGGCAGAAGCAGAAGGATGACCCGAATTTGGGTCCATCCTACCATGAACATAAAATGCGGGTTTGCGAGGAAATGGTAATTCCACAGAAAGATTACTTAAATACGAAACAACTCTTGACATTGGAGGCCTATACCTCTGCTTTCTCTTGAACACACAATAATCCAATCTGGATGCACTTCATCACTTCTGCTTCACAACTACTTTCTTTCAACTTCGGATCCATTATTTCTAATGGCGTCTCACCTCCCCTCCACTGGTTCCAAGCCTGCAAAGTTTTCACAGTACACACATGTCAATACTCATATTAATATTTGCCCTTTCTTCTTATAACTTTCGATCATCAGGCGATCATATAATTATTGAGGCACGATGGCATCACACCTGCTTCAGCTTATTTATATCAACATATATCTATTGAAATTTGACAAAAATGAATACGTACAATTCATCAAGTGATATGTTTCAGAGTTAAAAGTCATTGCAAGTAACGACTTACGTAAGCTAGCTGGGAGGCCATTAATGCTGGGTAATTCATAAGAACAAGAATTTTTCCGCCCACATACTCCAAACTAAAGATATCTGATTTTTCTGAGTATCTTCCAAAATTCACATATTCAGGAGGTATATAGCTGCTGCCAAAAAAAAAAATCCAAACAATATAAGCCAACAGAAACAACATTTTACTTGTTGGAACAAATAGAAAAACAATAAGCGAAGTGTGGTAAGGGATTCAGCAGTCACTAACTCACTATGTCCCAACTATTCTTCTTGTTCTTTCTTGGTGTTGATCTATTGCCACCGTTTTTGCCATTCAAAAATCGGAAAGCTTTGGATTCATGTTTTCATCTCATAAGATATTGCTAGGTTTTAAGATCACGATGTATAATTTTAAGACGTGAATGCTCATGAAGATAAAAAATTGCTCGACCAACCCCTTCAATGATTTAAAGCACCTGGACTATTTGACAAGAGTTGATCTTGAGAATCTGTATAATCAACAATAACAATATAAGGTGTTAGACTTCAACAGTAAATGTGCTGGTGAAAAATAAAGATAAGAAAACCTTCAGACCAAACGTAAATACCAAACAAAGAGAAAGTAGTCGAGGCTTTTGTTGGGTGGTGCAAATTTGTAGACGAGTATCTTCTCATGCTCTTGTAAGCAAAATCCCAACAATGTCACTAGATTTCTATGTTGAAGTTTAGCTGTTAGTAAAATCTCATTCTTAAATTCCAGGGGGTGCCTTGTTCGGAGCTCGTGGAGAGTCTCTTCACACAGCAATTTTCTGTCCATTAGAAAGAGTACCCTGAGATCATGCATAAGTAAAAATTAGCATTTGCAACGATACTCAAATATGGACTAGTCATTAGGACTGGGTACTATAGGTAATTGTTAAAAAGATGTTAACATTTGCATTATGGACATAAAATAATTTCTCACCTCGTAAACTTCTCCAAATCCTCCTTGAGCTATCCTGTTCTGATCTGAAAACCTGTTTGTTGCAGCTTCAATTGTAGCGAAATCGAATCGCAGTGACTCAGAGTAGTACATTCAGTTCCAACTAAACGAATGTATATATTACTTTTCAAATAAGCACATTCATTCTAGGCATAATTCATACACACTTTTCTGGTTCTATTTATAAGTCACTTCTAACATGTTATACACAGATAAAAAAATAAATTAAACTTCATTAATTTTCATTTAAAGTTCAAGAACTTTCTTATTTTATCTCTATTTAATAAATGAAGTGTAAAATTGTACATCCATACAAAAAAATTCTTTTAGTACCCTATAAATAGGACTAAAAAAATGTCTTTTCTCCTGTTTATAGACAGGACCAGAGGAGCATATACATAGGAAGAGCATGATTGGTTTGATTTTCTATTTTCTATTTCAAAAACGTACAGTTTTCTTTGAGAATGCATATCTCCTCCTTGCCTTCCTTCGCAGCAAATAGATGACGAAATAGGACAGCAGGGCTGTAATAACGACTGGGATGCACCACCGCGATAATGATCCGTGACCGGACTTTTTCTGCCTCCTGCGTAATAAAATAATTGCTAAACATTGACAGTTAATATAAAAGTTAGTTGATTAATTTAAGTAGATTAAAAAATTAGTTAAGCTAATTATTTATAATAAATACGTGTTTTCTTTTCTAAAATATCCTTTTTAATTAAGTGTATTGGTTAGAATTATCATTATTACGAGGATTACCTAGAAAAAAAGTGAGATAACCATCGAAGACAAAATGAATTGAGATTTGATATTTAAAATCAAAATAAAAATTAAATGAGCTTTTATATAAAGACTGGAGGTAGTAATAAGAAATGTTATCTTTTTCCTTCTAAATTTTCCCTTAAGGTACAATGAAATAATTTATTAGTCAAAATGGACAAGTTGGCCCACGCAAAGAAGGCCTGCTGTCATACGGTCATTTGAGCCAGACAGCCTTCATTCGTTGAACATGTGACAAATTGAGAACTTGACCCATAAGGTTTTTTTTTTTTTTTGACCTTGATTAAGGTTGCATTAAAAACTAGTAGTAATATATAAATCTCAAAATCGGCGGCGTATAGATAAATAATTAGCCATTAGAAGGAGAGCTTTACTTCGGACGCTGAGCCCCCTTTGCCGCCATCAACAGAAACAGAATCATGTGAGACGCGCTTCAGGCGAACGCGCGCGAACAGCTTCAACCTCTCTGTAAAAGAGTCGCAACCCAAACATGAGGCTGCAGCTTGGATACAGAACCATTCCGGCGTATCTTCCAAGGCAAACACAGCGGAATATCCGCATCATATCCCTCAGACATCCCCGGCAATCTCCGCTCGTCAAATCGTGCGAGCATTGAACCAGAGTGCACACCTTCTGATCCCTCACTTTCCCCGTCCTCGTCGCAAATTCTTTTCTCCAGCTGCCACACCGTCCGCCGCCTCCTGTTATCGCCTCGTTCAGCGTGTTCGCCAGCACCCACCCGACGCCACCTTGATTTCGATTCGACGTGTCCGGAATCGTGCTGAAATTCCCGAGCTTAATCCTGGGCCATTCCTCCAAGTTGGAGAAGATGGAACGGCTCGAATACCGAACTAAGCACTCGCGATACCAGATGATGGCTTCCTTGGAGTACAAAAGCGCGACGCGATTTTCTGGATTGCCAACTGAACGCACTTTTGGCACATCTGACCCGTGACATCACCGTGACACAAGAAGAGGCCGTAGATGGCCTCGCTGGCGTTTACACCGCCTCGGTGACGGTGGTGTTGTAGAATTCCACGACGCCAGTGGCGGAGAAGATAAAGAGGAAAGGAGAGTGTTGAGGTTGACATGGTAAGGACCATTGAAAGCGAAGGTTTTACTGGCGGAGCAACTATGGTGGATATAAACAGGATCTTTATTGCCTATATAAACAGAGCCATCTGCTTCAGCCCTGGCTATGGCGAAATATTGAAGCAAGCTGAGGAAGAATATGAGATGGAGGTTAGGTACAGTCATTTGGAATAGCTAATCTTGATGATTAATTGATATTTGAATGAACAACTGGGGATGTATGCTCTGAATCAGAAGAAAATTGGCCGACAAAAGGCTTTAATGATATCTAGTGGGGTGTTTTTTAATGGTTCTTTCTTTTACCATCATCTAGCACCCTATGATCAACCCCAATGTTGGTTCCTTTTTGGCCAACTATAATATTTTGCTTATAATTTGTCAAATCTGATACAACCCAATGTGCCTTGGACGTAATTCTAAATATTGCAAGATGGGTCTCAAATCAATCTCTTTCTTTTTTAATGGAAAATCAATCTGTTTCTTGATATGCCAGAGAAACTGCGTATCTTTCTCCTATGCACTTGATATACAATAATGTAAAAGAAGTAACTTTATTTATTAACTTAAACACGCATGATTCAGAATTCGTAGGTTGGATGGGATTTGACGACGATGGTCAGCAATGATCACACTACATGGGGTTTTACGTACGTTTGCATCTTGCCTATGTACGTTTAATAATGGTGTTTTTTACATATTTGTATCAGACACACAAGATTGACATGATAATCCCATATATATATAGTATATAGATATATACTTTTGTATGTATTAATTCTTTTTTATATCAGCTAATAAATTCGGGTTCTTTTTATTCTGCTAAGAAGTGGACAGATGCTTTTTTCGCTATTAATATTCGGATCTTACATAGGAATCCAAACGAATCTCCACAATCCACATGTTGGTAAACAGAACAACAAATAA